GTCTTTTTCCCTGAGAGTTTCTCTGAAGCCTTTGGAAGTCCACTCTGATAGCAGATGGCAGAAGACTGTTGGGAGATGGTATTAACATCTCAGCTCCCTCGCCTTTCCCCTCTCCCGTATTCTATACCATTTCTCACAATTCTTCTTGGTTTACACATCAGTGTCCCACAGTGGTAACTGGTTTGATTATGCATTCTTTGTTGGTTTCCTTCTTTGCTTCTCCTCTACTGGTATTTTGTTGGTTTTTAACTCTCCAATTTCCAAGTAAACTACCTTAACTCCAATATTTGTTTCGGGATCTGCTTCTGAAGGAACCTAAACTAAGATATAAATTAATCATGTTAATTAATTTTCAGCCTCTCTGGCCTAATGAAATGCATGCTTGCATTTTCTTTACAAAAGATTTTGAAAGCTGTGTGTGTTAAGCCATTTCACATTTATGCTTTGCCGCCAAGAAACCGACAAGAGATGCTCACGATGGGCAAATGTCAGCCCCCGAGGGCACAACTGCAACTGACAAAACTATTTATTGGAGGAATTCTGGCTGTCAGTTCAGATCTCTGTTGATGATCAGAGGAATTCACTCATTCTGCAAATATTTTCTGAGCTCTGCCTCTCTGTAAGAGGCCCAGGCAGCATTGGCCAAGCTAAAACAAATACTGTCTGTTTTCTCTGAGACGTAGCTTTCAGATTACTCTATTAAAAAAAACACTAATGAATCTGTTCAGAATTAATGTTTGAGTTACTGTTGGGCTAGTGATGATTCTCCAAGGGGTGAGGAGGAGATAATAATGACCTTTTTTTTTTTTCTTTTTTAAACTATGAAGGATTTATTTCTGATAATTATAATGGTCTGTCCTTTCCCAAAGAAACAGTCACCACAGTGTGGTGCACATCCCAGGAGGACTGGCACAGAAGCAAAGTTTGCAAACTGCTAGACCTCTGAGGTTTAGCTTTGGGAGCAGAGCCAGGGGAGAAATGATGCAGCCCAATGCAGAGATAAGGTCCCTGGACCAAGAACAGGAGAGCTGAACTATGGAGCTCTCAACCAGCCGTGTGATCTCGGGAAGTCACCTGCACTCTCTGGGTCGCAGTTTCCTCACCCCTAAAATTAGGGACTGGGATCAGATGGTCTCTAGGACCATTAATGATCTGTTATCAGTCATGAGTCTGGTAAAAAAGGCCATGGACCCAAGGCAAATCTATGGCTTCACTTTACCTCTGTGTTGCTCCACTTCTCATCAGGTTGGGTGGGGTGAGGGGAAGTCGTTTTTTGAATAACTAGGCACTATTTGCCCTAAAAAGTGTTGTAGTGACCTGGCTCAAGGATTGGTGGTTAGAAAGAAAGGAAGCTACTGAGACGGGGTAGGAGTTGGAGAAATGGGTGAGTGAAAGGATGTTTTCCAGGCTGGAGAACATTTGGGGGTTCCAGAATTGATGAAGACCCTGCTGGAAAGCTTGCTGTTGATACTTGGGGGATAGAGGGAGTATGGTGGGAGGAAGCACAGAAAAGGCTCTCTCATTTTTCTTTTCATAGCTTTTTATAATTCTTATGGTTCTCAAATCTGGCTGCATATTAGAATCATTCAGAGGGCTTTAAAAATCACAAAGTCCCTCTCCTCCTTCTGATTTAATTGGTCTGGGATGGCAAGTTTTGAAAATGCTCTGAAATAATTCAGCTGCATAGCCAGGATCAGGAACTACTAAATGGTAACCAAGAGCTCAGACACAGCGTTTGCCTTCACCCAGACATCTACCTTATTTTCTCTACCTTTTCACATTTTCCTTCCTCTTCACTTTTCATCCTCTGTCTCAAGATTACAAAGTCAGAAACAGGTGGGAGACGGAGAAGGGAAGAACAAATCCTATGCATCCTATTTTCTGGTTAATTCCTGTATTATTTATGAGGTTTAATAAAAGTTGTTTTTCTTCCATGAATATAATGTATACTATTTAGCAAAAACTTGAGAAATACTCAAAAACAAAAAAGAAAAAACATCTCAAAGTGTCAGACTGATCCATCACTCAAAGGCAACTACTGCTAATCCCATTTTAGTCTTTTCTTTCTAAAATTTTTTTCTCAATGCCTAGTTTCTTTGTTTGAATGCTTTACCCTGTTGTATATACCAGGAAGTGGCAAACTGCAGTCCACAGGCCAAATCCATCTCACCTCTTATTTTTGTAAATAAAGTTTTATTGGAACATTGTTATGCTCATTTGCTACCTATTGGGTACAGCTGCTTTCACACTGCAGTGGCAGAGCTGAGGAATTGCAACAGAGACCATCTGACCCATGAAGCCTGAAATATTTACTGTCTGGTCCTTTACAGAAAATATTTTTAGGCTTCTGGCATATACCATCCTGTACTCTCATTTTCTCCTCATTGTACCTTATATTATGAGCATGTTCCTATTTTATAAATGCTTCATAAGCATTATTTCTAATAACTGCCTGATATTTTACGGCACACAGGTAGGTTGTGGCTTACACTTTCTTCTATTAGTACATGTGTATGTTTTTTCACTCTCACAATGCTTCAGTGAGTATATTTGGACATAGATGATTTGTTTTTTCAATTATTCCTTTTTTTTTTTTTTTTTTGAGACAGAGTCTCACTCTGTTGCCCAGGCTGGAATGCAGTGGCCCAATCTCGGCTCACTGCAAGCTCCGCCTCCCAGGTTCATGCCGTTCTCCTGCCTCAGCCTCCCGAGTAGCTGGGACTACAGGCGCCCGCCACCACGCCTGGCTAATTTTTTGTATTTTTAGTAGAGACAGGGTTTCACCGTGTTAGCCAGGATGGCCTCGATCTCCTGACCTCGTGATCCACCTGCCTCAGCCTCCCAAAGTGCTGGGATTACAGGCGTGAGCCACCACGCCCGGCCTCAATTATTCTTTTGGGATTGTATTCAGATTATTCAGTTGGTAGCTAGAGGCATTTTGACACTCCTCCCGGTACATATTACTACATTTCTTATTCAAAGGCAGTGCGCTAGTTTGTGCTTTTCAGTAATACAGTAGAGAAACTACTTCTCCACGTGCTTGCCAGCATTATTAGCATTTTAAACATTTTCTACTTTTAGATAGGTAAACAAAAAGCTATTATTTTAATTTTCGTTTCTCCTGTTTCTAATGCGGTTGAACTTGTTACTAAACCATTGTTATTTCTTCTTCTGCACATTGACCAGTTTTCAGCTCAGCGTGGCCTCCTTCTGCGCAGGGCACAGTGGAGGATGCTGGTCTTGCGTCTCACCTTAGCTTGGAGCAGGGCTCCTGCCTCCACTCGGTTCTTTTCAACATCTCTCTCCCACTGAATTCTGATCATCTCAAGGATGTCATCCAGACCAGTGCCAATGGGCACATCCATGTGTTCCAGCTCACACCCTGCCAACTGTTTATGCAGCACCTTCACATCCTGAAAACGACAAGATACATCTTAGGTGAGTTACAGGGGGAGATAAATGGCATAGAACTCTGGTCAGCGAAAACCAGCTCTGTGGGCAATTCTCTCGTCATTCCACAACTGCCAGACACAGACTTCACAGAGACTGGGAAAGTCCCTGACCTTCTTCCCCGCATAAGTGTAATTTCTCTTTTCCCAAGGATGCATTTCTCTTTCTTTCTTTCTTTCCTTCCTTCCTTCCTTCCTTCCTTCCTTCTTTCTTTTCTCTTTCTTTCTTTTCTCTTTCTTTCTTTCTCTCCCTCCCTCCCTTTTCTTTTCTTTCTTTCCTTCTCTTTCTTTCTTTTTCTTTCTTTCTTTTCTTTCTTTCTCTTTCTCTTTCTCTCTCCCTCTCTCCCTCCCTCCCTCTTTTTCTCTTTCTTTCTCTCTCTCTCTTTCTTTCTTCTCTCTTTCTTTTGACAGGGTCTCACTCTGTCACCCAGGTTGGAGTGCAGTGACATGATCTCAGCTCATTGCAGCCTCCACCTCTTGGGCTCAAACAATCCTCCTACCTCAACCTCCTGAGTAGCTGAGACTACAGGCACGGCACACACCACCACGCTCGGCTAATTTTTGTGTTTTTAGTGGATACAGGGTTTCACCATGTTGCCCAGGCTGGTCTTGAACTCCTGGGCTCAAGTGATCCACCTGCCTTGGCCTCTCAAAGAGCTGGGATTACAGGCTTGAGCCACCATGCCCAGCACCAAGGATGCATTTCTTAGGTTGGTCTCCCCAAGCCCAGGCCCAAAGCAGAAATAAAAATAAATAAACAAACAAAAACAAAGTAAGCAACAACAGCAAAGCGAATTTAGGCATAAAGTCAGACAAGGTAGAAAGAGACTTAAAAGATAACTTGGCATCTCTAAAGGGTTACTGTTGGAGAGTAGTCTTAAATCACTGAGCTAAGAACAAGAAGAAATGGGCTTGCAGTTGCTGGTTAGCTTGAGTTGGACTCAAGAAAGAACTTCCCAATGTGAGCATTGTTAAGTGGGTTTTGACTCTTCCAACTTGACGCAGCCTAAATCTCGGATCAGACAATAATATGCGTGAGGTGGTTTGGAATCACTGAAGTCTTGCAGGGAACTAGACCCCATAACTGTTGGAGGTCCTCTTCAGTTCTGTCATTCAATGATCTGACCCAATTTTGTTAATGAGTAGATGTCAACCACAGCTTGGATCTACCCTCAGAGTTATTTTGTTTGTATAATACAGTGTTAAAAACAAAAAACAAAACCTGACATAGAATGTATTGAGGGGGGTTGCTCCCTCTAATTTAACCCAAGTTCCCTCATTTGCTAGTGCCAAGACCGGCTGCCTTCCCCTGTTTCTGCACCACACTGGTTCCTGAAGCTATTTGAGTCTGAGACTGCTGGGGAAATCTGACGCACTAGAAGGATCTGAAAGTATTTTACAGGCATGTTCCCTGCAGTCCTGGGCACGCAATGCGGAGAGTCAGAGATGAGCTACTGTGGCCTTGTTCTGAAGCACAGGCAGACAGATGTGCACTTCTGGTCTTGTGGCCAACCCAGCAACCCCAGCCCCTTCCTACCTCTTCATAGTTTCTTGATAGAGAGCCAAGTTCTTCTTTCAGACTTTCTATTTGACTCTCCAGGTCCATTTTAGTCAAATTAGCTTCATCAATGACTTTATACAGAGAATTAATTTCCTCTTCTGCCGCCTTTCGAAATGGCAGCTCATTTTCATATCTGCAGATAAAGGAACTTAATCAGCATAACTGGGTAGCCCAAAAGGAAAAGAATAGGATTATAAATGTTACCAACAGGCCAATTATGTGATGGTTAGACAATGAATGGTACAAGTCACTGTTTCAATAGATTTGAGGGCACTGTTAGTGCAATTGTCATACATTGATTTATTAAAATGAAGGCAATTGCAGCCAACTTCTGATAACCTGGCTTCACGGGCTACCAGCCTCATGGGAGTGTTGAAGCACAGAGCTCCAGGGAAATCTCAGGAGTTCAGATCCAGGTTAGGGGATCCGGCATCTTCATCGCTATCCTGATGGTCCTCCTTTTCAACCAAGGATCCTTTAACAAACATTACCGACAACCTGCTAAGCACCAGGCTGGGGACCCAAAGCACCCATGTTAAAAGTGTCCATCTGCAGGACAGTGGCTGCCAATCCAGATGCCTTCAGGGACTGAGTGGGAGGTGAAGCGGAGCATGTTCTCAAGCCTGGATGCACATTAAGTCATCTGGTGAGTCTAAAACTGCTGAAGCCTGGACCCCACCCCTGGGGACTCTGATTTGATTAGTCTATAGCTTGTGCACTGCACTGACGTTTTTTCGTGCCTGGGTAATTCTGATCTGCAGCCAGGATTGAGAATCATTACTCTAAACTAGTAGTTCTCAAGGTATTTGAGTCCCAGGACCAGCAGGATCAGCATCCCTGGGAACTTGCTAGGAATATAAATTTGGGGCCCCTCTCCAGACCCATTAAATCAGAAACTCAACAGGGTGGGGCGCAGCAATCTGTGTTTTCTGTATGGCCCCTGGGTGATTCTGAGCATTCCAGAGTTTGAGAACCCTGCTCTAAACCAACTGACAGTGGGCACAATCTTTGAGCCCTTGGGGCCTAGTTTGTGTCTACAAGGAGGGGTGTGAGCCAGATAATCATGGTGCTGTTATCCTGCCAGCCTCCCCTGAGGTAGAAGGTGGATGATGCAGGCTCCAGAACAGCATTATCCACACTGCCCAGGAGCCTAGGGATGTGGAGGGACTGTTCCCTCTGCTGTAAGGCATTACCTCTCTTTAAAGTCATCTGCTCCCGCCTGGATAGTTTCTGTCTGTAGCATGAGCCGGGCATTTTCCAAGACTGCCTCGCCTACCTAGAGCGATCACAGACACCAAAGGAGACAAAGTCACTGACAGCATCAAGATCACTCACCACCATGACTTGTCTTAGGCACAGAGGCTCTGGGGGACCTCAGAGAACCTTTCTTACAGCAAATATTTGTGGAATTAAGGTGTCCCTCTCTTTGGGACAATGGTCAAGGTGGTGGGATATAAATAATAAGGTATAAAATCTGGATATGTTCTAAGAGTTTTCAGAGTGGGGTTTTTGGCATAAAAAGACTATTCGAAGGCAGACTTGTTCACAGCCTCTGTCACAGAGACGAGCTTTCATATCTCCAGGGCAGGGTCTGGCTCCTTAGATGAAGTTTCACTGGCTTTGCCTAGCAGCTCTTAAAATTTCTGGTCATGGATGCCTTTGGAAGGCTGGTGAAAGCTCTAGATGAGTGCTGAGAGAGCTTCCTGTGATGGTGGAAATGCTCTGTGTCTGCACTGTCCAGCACGGTGGCCACCCGTGGCTACTGTATTGGGCAGCGTGGCTCTAGAGTTTTGTCTCCCCCAAAATGTACACATCAACATAAACATTGTGCATATAATTTAGGGGTTCATGGAGCCTTGAGGAGTGGTTTTTCAAACTTGAATCCCTAAGCCTCTCAGGATTTCCCACAGGTAGGGATTGGGGGATGTCCTGCCTTCAACCTGAGAAACTCCTTTATGTATATATACATGGTGAGCTGAAGGCTCTGATAGGGGAAGCCCGTGGGGTGGAGCCAAGTCCCAGCTATGGGAAGAAAGTAACTGTGCTCTCCCTTTGCTCCAGTGTGACTGTCTTATTTTGTTTCATTTCATTGAATTTCTTTTTTCTTTCTTTCTTTTTTTTGTTTTTTTTGAGACAGTGTCTTCTTGCTTTGTTGCCCAGGCTGGAGTGCAGTGGTGCAATATCTGCTCACTGCAAGCTCCGCCTCCCAGGTTCAAGCAATTCTCATGCCTCAGCCTCCTGAGTAGCTGGGATTACAGGCATGTGCCACTGCGCCCGGCTAATTTTTGTATTTTTAATAGAGACAGGGTTTCACCATGTTGGCCAGGCTGGTCTCGAACTCCTGACCTCAAATGATCCACCCACCTCAGCCTCCCAGAGTGCTGAGGTTACAGGTGTGAGCCACCACACCCTGCCATTTTCATTGAATTTTCCACTAGCAAAGCTAATCTTTTCTGTTCCAGCCTGGCCCTGGGGCACACTGGGGAGCAGGCAGACTAGGGTCTCTCCCTTTCCTAGTTCTTAATCACTCCTGTCTCTCACCTCTGGTGCCTGGAGTTCTCCTTCTGGTTGATAAAGAATTTGCAACTCATTCACATTTAAGTATCAAAGGACTAATAATGACTTAAAATAGCGATTTATATCCTTCTTTTAAGGTAATAATTCCCACCCTCAAAAATTACAGCTCATAGAAGACCCATATATATGTACAGTTGTCCTTTGGTATCTGTGGGGGCTTGGTTCCAGTGCCCCATGGATGCTCAAGTCCCTTATATAAAATGATGTAGTATTTGCATATAACCTACACACATACCCTTCCATATACTTTAAATCATCTCACGATTACTTGTGATACCCAATACAATGGAAATGCTATGTACATAGTTGTTATTTACTATGTTATTTAGAAAATAATGACAAGAAAAAAAGCCCACATGTTCAGTATAAATGCAGTCATCTATTTTTTAAAAAACATTTTGATCCACAGTTGGTTGAATTCATGCATGTGGAACCCATGGATGTGAAGGACCAACTGTACTTTGCACCAGTGGTTCTCAGTGTGGGCCCTGGACCAGCGGCAGCAGCATCACCTGGGAACTTGTGAGAAATGCACATTTCAGCCCCTGTTTCAGATGGACCTATCAGAATCTCTGGAGGTGGGTCCTAACAATTTGCGTCTCAGCAAACTTTCCAGGGGCTTACGATGTATACTCAACCTTGCGAACCCTGGTTTCACGTGGCCCTGCCCCCAGGCCTGCTCAGGCTGCCTCCCTGCTGCACCTGGAATCCCTCTGTGCCTTTGCACCTGCTGCCTCCATGGAGAACAATTTGTTTCACTGCCTCCCCCGTCCCAGCCCTCACTGTCTGAGAAAGCCTGCTCCGGTATAATGCTCATTTCAAACACGGCTTCCCCACGGAGCTTTTCTATTTCTTTACTCATTGATTCTTGCCTTAATTTCTTCAGCACATAATTACTGTTTATGCCAGGCTCTGTCCTGTTTGTTGAGAAACCAGCAGCTATTGTAGGAGATGAGGTTAAAAAGGTAGACAAGACCAGATCATAGAGGGAAGGCCTTGGACAAAATGGAAAGGAGTTGAGATTTCCTGGGAAGCCTTTGACAGGGTTTAAGCAGGGTACAGAAGTGATCTGTGTACTAAGCGGAACCTCTGACTACTGTGGGAAGGGAGGATTGGAGGAGGATTGGAGGAGGCAGGAGAAGATGCCAAAGGACCAGTCGGGAGGCTCTTGCAATGGTCCAGGGAGCCCATCTTATTAATGACGGTGGCCTTGATGAATGATGTAATCATAGGATTGGTGGAGAAAGGTGGACTGGTTTAAGATGCATTTGGGGGATAGAACAGTTGGTTCTTGGTGGTGCAGTAGTTGTGGGGAGAGTGAGGGAAAACAATCGGGGTGACCCCTCCGTTGCATCCTGAGCCGTCGAGAGCATGGTGGGGCCTTTGCTGATTCTCTTCCTCCCTGCTTGGCTGGTTCCTGCATCAGAGTCACAGCCCACCCCTGTGGCACATTACCCCTCTCTTACCACATTTCGTATAAACACTTTGTAGACAATGATAGTGTTTTCTTATTCTGGAACCTGGCTCCTCCATTCACTCGCATGGGCCAATTGCTTAGAGTAAGTCACTCTAAGATTTGGTTTCTGCCCCCATAAAATGAAGATAATAATACTCCCCTCCCCCTGGGAGAATGAAATGAGCCAAGGTGTGTGAGACTCAATGTATGTGTGACTCAGCAGACTGCCTGGCACAGAGTAAGTATTGCATGAATTGTAGCCATTATCATCATTGTTACTTGTCTTTGTACAAAGCAGTTGTTCAATGAATGTCGAATGAATTTGATGGGTTTGTGCAGTCTGGCACTGATCCCGCTTTACTTTTCTGAATATGCACAGGCAGTTGAATGAAGACTTCCATCTAGTGGCTTGATACATATATATATATATATTTTTTTTTTTTTCTTTTGTTTTTCCTGTCCATAGTCATTTGAAAAGTCCTAGTCATTTGTACTATGATGGTGAGGACTTTATCCCTTTCTATAATACTACTCCTGTTTTCATTGTGGATGTAGTTATTAAAATAAATGAGCTGGTGGTGGTGGATGAGAGATTCGACCATCATCGTGTTAAAGAAAAGGCAAAGACAAGCAGCGTTTTAAAAAAGGTTGTCATTTGGGTCCAAGGGTACAATTAATGGTTTGTTTGGAGTTAAAGATATTGGCATCCTGGCAGCCAGAGCTGCAGGCATGGGGAGGAGGTGGGTAAGACTGGGCTCCTGGGAAATTAAACTCAGCTGGTGCAGTGGCAAGATGCAAGATTCCCTTGGAAACCCTTCTCACATTTATTTGACTTTCAAGTTTAGGATGGATGTTCAGCATAACTTGCTTCTAGCAATAAAGGAATGAGAAATAATTCTCAGTCCCTAGCACCCCAGTGATACTGCTCCTAATAACAAGGCACAGGCCACTGCATTACCAAGCCCGGCAGATGCTTCTCTGCACTCATCTCGATCTGCCGCTTGCATTTGTCACAGATGTACTTTCCTGACTCAGCTTCCATGACACCACTCTCTCTGGGCTTCCTCCTACTTCATTGACCATTCTTTCTCATTTTTCTCTGCTTCGCCAGGTTTTTCGTCCTTATCTGACCTCTAAATGTTAAAGTTTTTCAGGATTGGGTCTTGGTGCTTCTTTTTTTTTTAATCACTAAGTGGTCTGATCTGTCCACATAGATTTAAATGGTATTGTATGTGCTAATGATTTCACATTTAAATGTCTATCTCAGAACTTTCTGCTCAGCTCCAGACTTGCATACTCACCCTGTCTTTGAGGTCTTCACTTGGCTATTTCTCAGACATCTCAAATTTAACATGTCTCCAAATGAAAATCTAGATAATTTCGGCCGGGCACGGTGGCTCACACCTGGAATCCCAGCACTTTGGGAGGCTGAGGTGGGTGGATCACCTGAGGTCAGTTGTTCAAGACCAGCCTGGCCAACATGGTGAAACCCCTGTCTCTACTAAAAATACAAAAAAGTAGCCAGGCGTGGTGGCATGCACCTGTAATTCCAGCTACTTGGCAGGCTGAGGCAGGACAATCGCTTGAACCCAGGAGGCGGAGGTAGCAGTGAGCTGAGATCGTGCCACTGCACTCCAGCCTGGGCCACAAGAGCGAAAACCCATCCAAAAAAGAAAGAAAGAAAGAAAGAAAGAAAGAAAATCTAGATAGTTTCCCCTCTGATCTTCCCTTTTCCCACTGATCCTTGATCCTCTTCATCTCAGTAAACAACCCCAATGTCTACCTGGAAACCAAGGGGTCATCTTGATCTCTCACTTTCTGTCGTTTCCACATCTCATTTATTCTGAGTCTAGTCAATTCTACCCCCACAATGTATCTCAAATCCGTTTACTTCTCTCTACCTCTCTTGACATCACCCCAGTGCAAGTCACCATCATGCTGTCCTATCCCATTCATTGTAATATCCTTCCAAATCCCTGATCTCTCCTCCAATGCATTCTACATCTGCTTCCAGAGTGGGCTTTTTAAACTCATATCATGTCACTCTGATTAAACTAAATTAAAACTCTTCAGAGGGGCTAGGTGTGGTGGTTCATGCCTGTAATCCCAGCACTTTGGGAGGACAAGGGGGGTGGATTGCTTGAGCCTAGGAGCTTGAGACCAGCCTGGGCAACATAGCAAAATCCTAGCTCTCAAAAAACAACAACAACAACAAAACAACAACAACAACAAACAGAATTTAT